CATCAGTTTACCGCGAAATTCTAAGACATTACGAAGTTGAATGCTTCATAAACATTTCATTTTACTTGAAGTTAAGAGATATAAGCTGAATGTGTTAGAGTTACCAGCGCAGCCAAATTCATCACTGTAGTCGAGGCAGTCCCTGACACCATCACATTTTGCGGCTAGCGGCAGGCATAACCGTCCATCAGCGCATCGGAAGTGCTCGCTATCACAGTCAGCAGCAATCATGATATCGTCGCCACACTTAGCCTCATCCGTGCCATCTTCACAGTCACGCTCGCCATCACAAACCCAACTGAATTATCGAAATACAATTACCTTCAAGCAGCATCAAATTAGTCCTGTGAAGAAAGTTGCTTCGGAAGTAGCCTCTGGTTGTCTTTTTTTTCCCAGGGAGAAAAGTAATTGACTAGCATACTGAGCGCCGGCGCGAATACGCGTTTTTTGCGTAGTTACCTGCAAGTTTTTGTCGCTAACGGCATCGGTTTTTTCGGCAGATGCTTCTAGCTAGACGAATTGAGGTTGGCCGTCAGGACTATCAGGAGACACCTCCTTAAAATTAAGATTTCTAGCCTTCCTGGTTCCTGAGTTAGCAACTTACCTGCAAAAAACTTTCACAGGCTCGTGTGTGGGAACCACGCATATCTGGGGATTGGTTTTGAACTCAATCAGACCTACGTGGACGGGGAACGTCTCCTTAAAATTCCAGTCTTGCAGCTTTTCAGGTTTCTGAATTCGCAACCTACCCCCAAAAAAATTTCACGGACAAGTACGTGGGAACCAGGCATAAGTGGGGCTTCAATTTAAAACCATTGAGTTCTACGTGGATGGGAGAACATCATTCAAAACTTCAACTTTTTAGTTTTTCTGGTTTCCGAGTTAGCAGCATGCCCGCCAAAAACTTAACAAGCCCGTGCTTGGGTACTAAGCTGGTAAGACCGCCCATTTTGAGGTGTCTGTACATGCACGTAGATTAAGTTTCCAAAGTTTCAGCCCTGTAGCTTTTGTAGGTCTCGAGATGAAAAATCGGTACAGGCGAACATACAGATACACACACACAGACAACCCCACGACAGTGTGCGTTTCTGCACTGCACAGATGCAAAAAATGCATAAAAAGGAGAAAAGCAGCCAGGAGCTAGTAAGAAGGTTGCATTCGAAACTCACGCTTGATTATTAGTGAACATGTGAAAAGAGCATTCAAGAACAGACCTCTCTGCAATGCAACGAGAGTTGTCCGCGCACATAAACTGATCCTTCTCACAAACAATTGTGCAATCTAAACTCATAAAAAACATCGTTGTCTAATATGAAAAATTAAAAAGTTGCGGATGACAACTGTTGATAGGAGTAACTTGGAAGCAGTGATACAAAAGAGATATAATTACATAG